TAGGAGTTGGTGGAGGTGGCGAAGTGTAGTATGGCTCCTTGGGTGGTGGTGGAGAATTGTAAAAGGGAGTTGGCGGCGGTGGAGACTTGTAAATAGGAGTTGGTGGAGGTGGCGACTTGTAGGTTGGGGTGTGTGGAGGGTAATATGGCTCATTGGGTGGTGGTGGCGACTTGTAAATTTGTGTCGAGGGTGGTGACGGCATGTACACTGGAGTGTGTGGAGGGTAGTACGTCTCTCTGGGTGGTGGTGGAGAATTGTAAACTGGAGTTGGCAGTGGTGGAGACTTGTAAAGTGGTACGGGATGATAAGGTGTTGGTGAAGGGTGGTATGACTCCTTTGGTGGTGGGGGAGATGTGTATTGATAATTAGCTGAACTTTCGGATGGTAAGCTAAGTGACACTAAAACCACTAAAAGAGTTGCAACTAGAGAGGCCATTTTCCCTATATTTGAAACAAAGGAGAGAAGTTTTTGTCCTCTTAAGCTTCACCCAAACCCCTTTATATAGATTTCATTTAGAAATTACCCTTACCAAAATTTATACAAATGTAGGTAATATGGTAGAGTTATGCATATGTTTATTTAGTCTTGACATGTTGTTGGCTCAATTTTGACTTTAGTTTGTATATTTAATTTGATAGATATATAGAGGCATCATCCTAAGCAAATGTATAAACTATTAAGGGAACTATACTGTTTGTGACAGAATGATTCAAAGAGCTACAAAATCTTGTTTTCTTTTTACAGAACCTTTGAAAAAAAAATGCGTGGATGCCTCAACTTTACACTCAACTAACCTTCACACAAGTGCTTATATTTAGGAGACATGATTTGTCACAGACATCCTTTTGTAGCAAATTTATTGTTTAAAAAATATGGATAAAAATAAATAGAATCCTAGACCTCTTCTAATTAAAACCTTGAATAAATCAACTATACAAATATAATTAATCTTGTGCAAAAGTTTTGCTACCAGTTAACTATCAAGTATAGTTTTCTCTATAAATAGGATGCTATTCTATTCTCTTCTTTTTTTTGAAGCGTATATAATTATTGTGGTGGTTTTTTTTATAATTTTTTTTACTACATGAGTCGTATAGGAAGCATCACCTTTAAATGTGCCCTCGCCTCCGGTTTCTAATCTAGAGTTAATTGGAACTTCAATATAAAGCACAGACATTGAATGGAAAAAGAAATATTTTTATTATTTGCATAATTAATTGAGGAAGAGATGAAATGAGTTGAAGAATAATGGTTAAGATGTGCTCACCATTTTCTTAGACCTAAAGGTGGGTTTAATTTGATACGTGCATTTTGCACCAACATCACAAATTTAATCATTTTTAAATTTGATTTTCAATTTATAATTAAATCAAATTGTAAGGTAATTTTAGAGACGAAATTGAGGATATTGATGATGATAAATTTTCTCCCTGTTTTTACTGAATATTTATGATAAATCATATTTATCTTTAAATTCGTTTAAGTTTGGATACAAAATAAGTTTCGTCACAAAAATATGTAATCAAATTAGCGACATAAAGTTATTTATAGTGAAATGGTGTAAAATTGAGCCATTAAGTATATATTATTTATGTTCTCTTAGTTTTTGTTGCTAACAATACAAATAATTAGTGACAATTGTTGCCTTGTCTTTATTTTAATTTATAAGACTATAACATTATTTAACTACGTTAATAATTTACCGCATGCTAATTATTTATTTTCTTGTGATAATTATTTTCTTTCTCAAATGCATATGCAAAAAGTTTGCAATTCATATATCACTTAGATACTTGAGCATAATCTGGATTTACACCTTTCGCTTATCGAAACATCAATTCAATCTTAAAAGCTGACTATCGAGTGAGCAATAAAATAAAAGAGGAAAGGCAAATATTGCTGATGGTCAAGTTTATGAAGGAAGAGAGAGTTCAAATAAAGCTCACAAAGGCCAAATATTTATTGAAAGAAAAGTTATTGGGGTTGCATTCAATTTAATGGTCTTGTAATTAAGTTAATCATACTATAAAGTTTGTAACTTTGCTATGCCATAATTTTCCCTTTAAAGCTTGACTAAATTTTCGATTAGGCCTAGATAATCTATTATCTTTTCATGATATTACGAGTTTTTTTTATCAATAAAGACTGTTATGGAATAAAAGATACTTCTTTATTCTTGTTTAGAGGTCTCGAATTCGAGTTCTCCTGAGTACAGAGTTGTTGCCTCTGTTAAGGAGCATTGAATTTTTTTAATGTAGATACAAATTTGATTGAGAATCTAATATGAATATCGGATACTGAATTGAACCAAAATAAATAAACAAAATAATCTTACACACTCATGTTGTGCATAGTTAATATCTAGGTTTATGCTCCCCTTCTACAAATTGTAGTTCACAATTAATAGCAATAAAATCTTGATTGATTCAATTTTTTTTAAACAAAAGAGTCACCATCCAATTATCTAATTAGAGACAATTTCTTAAGAAGTTTCTTATTATGATAATTGCATGGAAGTTTTCTCTCAATAACCATTTATTATTTAAATTATATTTTTATTAGTTATATAACTAATAACTTAATCAATATGTTAAATAAGGTCTTGATTAACAAGTCGCGTAAAATCATAGTGAATTATATATATATTTAATCATATCATAAACCTAACCTAACATTTAACAAGTCAAGCTTTGATTGAATTAAATGAATTTTATATAATTTAATTATCTAAACTAATATCGACAGCTCTATAATAAATTAATAAGATAGCGTTGTCTAATTAGCTTAATAATAATTAATAACGAATGTATGTTTGGTCGATCGTACACAATACTGCACCTTTTTCCTTGTATTCTTTTTAATTAGAACACTTCCTATTATTTCATGCATAATCAATTTATTATTAATTGATCAAACTGATATAAAAATAATTTTATATATATATTTATAAGCTAAGTTGCTTATTTAAGACAATTTAGTTATATTCAATAAATTGGTCATTCCTAACTTTGATTTTTTTGTTTGCTTATCAACATTTTTCTTTCACGATTTTATCCTTTATCTTACTTTATTTCTCGAGATATATTTTCTAAAAATAAACTCCTTTTCTTTACAGAGGTAGTTTTAAACCTTTTTTGGGGGTTAAAAAATCTAAAGATATTTCAATACTATAACAAAAAATAGTTAATCGACACTCTTTTTGCCAAACATATTAACAACTTATTATTATCAATTTTATCACTGCATTAAAAAATGTTTTTTTTAATCTCTAAAGTGTAATAGATTGAAATAACTTGTTCTTTTTCTTTTCTCTATGTTGAGGCGGCACCAACAAATCAATCCATCAAAGTTTCTATCAATAAATATAAAACATGCATGATGGGTTGATGATTATTTATCAAGAAGATTATATTATTCAAACCGTCAAATTAATCAACTATCTCACCCGACTCTGTTACTTTAGAAAATCAAACAAACAATCTTTTCTCTATTAAGATACTAATGTATTTTAAAATATTTTATTTATATAATTAAATAATAATAATAATTTTTAATTTTTTAATCTTTTCTCTATTAAGATACTAATGTATTTTAAAATATTTTATTTATATAATTAAATAATAATAATAATTTTTAATTTTTTAAATATACAAGTTTTATTTTAAAGATATTAAAAAGTGGTAATCAAATCAAATTTAAAATATGCGTTCACGATCTTCTTGGGGGTGGGCCAAAAGAGAGCACCAATCACTTTATTAATATTGTCACTATTTGTTATAAATTACCAAACGGTAGACTGAATTATGTTGACTTAATCTTAGTATTTTACCAAATATAGTATATGAGATGATAATGACTACTTTAGGAATAATTTATTCATTGATTGGTTGCTATATGCTACGTACGTATACTTTGCTATTGTCAATTTTGAAATTTGTCTAACTTTATTGGTCAGTCTAGCATACGTGTTGACATCGTGGGAGTAACTTTTTTTTCTTTAATTGTATTGTTGCCTATTTGTATTGTTATCATATTTTCTTTCTTAAAAGATAATGTGTGTGTAGAGATATGGGAAATGAAGGACGGGATTAGGGATTCAAATCTTCATGGCGAAAGTTTAGGTTATCAATCAATCGATACTAAGATTTCGATCTGTAAATTGTTATTGAGATTTTGATGATATCTTAACGTTAAATTTGTCATTAATTTTATCTATATGATGATTGATTTAATGTAATCGTTGAGCCTCGCTTTCGATATAAAGATGAAGAAATAAGACCAAAAAAAGGACTAATTAAGATCGAATAGATCAGAGAGAAGGGAAAACATAAAACTGTATAATAGTAATAACTTATTTTATTCATCTCATAATTAATCTTTGCATTTTGCTAGGATATTAAAACTGAGCAAACATACAGAAAGACATAAAAGTAAAAATACAAATATAAATAATAGAGTACAAACAATATCACTAGCTTAGATAACATGAAGCTACAAAAGAACTTCGACTTATGTGGGGCTTATTATTTACTATAGTTTTCTTCTTTTTTCATCGTCTCTCGAAAATGCAAAATGCCTTTCTTTAAGCTCAACATTTTACTTTTCCTGCATAAGAATATAATTTTGTGAATGAGAACATGTAATTAAAGTTATCCAAATAAGAATATAGACTGCATAGGTCTATATATTAATGATTTGCATGAGGAAATTGAGCAACTTATTGCTTTGCATTTTAGACACATCATTAGTAATAGTTTTAGTTTGTCTTAATTACCTCGATATAATGAAGTGGCTTTTTAGTAATGGTAGGGAGGAGGGGGAGAGGTGTAAAGATAGTAAGGTGGTGGAGGAGAGTTGTAGGCAGGAGTTGGTGGTGGTGGCGACTTGTAAATGGGAGTTGGTGGAGGTGGTAACTTGTAGGATGGGGTGTGTGGAGGGTAGTCTGGCTCCTTGGGTGGTGGTGGCGACTTGTAAACGGGACTTGGTGGAGGTGGTGACTTATAGGTTGGTGTGTGAGGAGGGTAGTATGGCTCCTTGGGTGGTGGTGGCGACTTGTAAACAGGAGTTGGTGGAGGTGGCGACTTGTAGGTTGGGGTGT